CACAGGCGGCAATCCCTATTATGTATGTCTACATTGCGATTCCGATCATCATCGGAAGTCATCACTTGTAACCTTGCAATTCATATAGATATAATATTGTTAGTTATTTATATTTTTTTAATGTTATTAAACACTTATAATACTTAATAAACAGTTTTCTCTCATTAATTTTGTTAACGACAACTTACCCCATATAAAACGACAACATGCCCCGCCATGGGGTACGTTGTCGCATTTGTCTATAAAAATAATATATGTCATAAATTTAATTAAATTTGTATTTTCCAATTTATTCTTCTTAGATATTTTTCGTCAATCATACATAAATCTTATGACCATATTTATTTGTAAAAAGCGCCAAAAACTACTTAAAAAATAAATTAATACCAAATCTGCGACAAGTAGCCCCGGTGTCCCCTACATTTATCTCCAAAATTGAACAAGGATTTCGCCATTTCATTTTTTCGAACAATTACAGGGACAACCTGTACATAAAACTGTTTTAACAAATAATTAATTTTATTTCCCTAATGACTGAAGTGCATTTTAATTATTTGGACGGACGTTTGTCTCTACTACGTTTCGTGCAGTAAAATTCGCCCTCAGGACTAAGAAATGCAATAACACAATATGTTTACTTCAATCTAAACGTGAATTTTGTTAATTAGGAATTAAGCTACCAAGGACGACCCTACGAGGCTATAAACAACCGTCCCACATTTTTTTTACGCCACAGTATCGACTCCCCTGCTCTTCCATTAATTATCATTCGAATCCGAGAACAAATGAAGCATGGCAATCCAAGAAATTAAATCACGAGTCCTGTCACGTGTCAGGAGTTCAAATCCTTAAATCTCCGTGATCCTGTCGATTTGCCATGTAGGCAGATAGCACTAATTGTTTTTATTTGATCAAGATTTCCACTGGTGGGGGGCAGCCGATATCTCTATCAGTAGTTGCATGCCACCGGAGGAATTAGTTGAAATAGCACTCCGGGTTTTTCGGTCGGTTGCATGAGTAACACCTCGATTGGGCTTAGTTCCTGGATCTCGCGAGGACGCTGTAGGAAGAGGTTCTAGCGTGCACGTACCTTCAAAGTAGTCTACACATTGAGAATATTTATAATTTACGTAAGTACTATAGTAGATTTTGATGTTAAACTTACATGAATGCTTCTGAACTTTTAAGTTGCTTTAAAATGATTAAGATAAATTAATTCCAAAAATTTATCGTCATCATCATCAAGTGAAGTGCGTAAAAAAATCGGGGATATTGATTGTGAAACGAAACTTTTTTAATCAATTTTGTCAGACTTTATATAAATCCTATGCTGTCATAATCATTTATTTGAATTATTTCATTAGAACACTATAGAAGTTACATCTTTTCCCAGAAATATTATAACAAAGGGCCTATATTAAATTGTACATGGTGTCTCAAACTCGATAGTATGGGCCTACTGTGAGGATACAAAAAATAAATAAAATTTGGGACACGACAAATTTTTTTCCTGTTAAAAAGCTCTCTTTTTTCTAATAAACCTTTATCAGAGAAATTTTTATGTATTATTTCCATTTTAAAAGTTATAAGCAATATCGTCCTAAAGAGTCACAAAAGAAATACCAGCTAAAAATCACATTAGCAGTTGAAGGATAAAATAGTCGTTGTAAAATAATTGAATGTTAGTTGTTTAAAGTATATAAATGTTACAGAATACTTGTCCTTACTCAATACGAACGTCAGATGTATAACTTTCGTGCTTACAAAATGTTTTGTCATTCAGAAAAAGTTGATGTGTGAAAAAGTGTTGCTAATTTACAACGAGTTACAAAAAATTCAAGAAGAGCTGTAGAGAAAGGTATCCAGAGTGCCTCATTTCTGATTATAGAACCTTTACAAGATTGGAGGCGACCTTGCGACGAAATGAAGAGTTATTTTCTGTTCGGAAAAATCAAATAATTGACCGAAGGGTAAGAAACAATGTTAACACAGCTAGACTGTTACAGTATTTCGAATAAAATCCATGAAATTCTATACGGCAGGCTAGCCGCGAATTGAATTTGAATAAATCAGCCGTTCAACGAATTTTAAACACCAATTGGTATCATGACTACAAAATTCACAATTTGAAGTACTTTCCTGAGCGTCACATTGAAAACAGACTTAAATTTATAGCTCAATTTGTAGTAAAGGTAGAAACTGTTGATCAGAATCTTTTTCGGCACGTTCTTTGGACGGACGAAAGTCGGTTTGTCAGTAATGGTTTGACAAACAGACGCAATGAACACTACTGGTCCATTGAAAATCCCCGCATTGTAAATCCAGTCCAAAACCAAGGCCATTTTGGAGTAAATGTGTGGTGCGGCATCATCGGTAGGCATTTAATTGGGCTTTATTTTTATGAACATACATTGAACAGTGTGAGTTACCTAAATTTCTTACAAGAAGGACTTCCTGCACTTCTGGAGAATGTGCTTTGCAGCTAAGGAGAAACCTATGGTTTCAGCACGATGCACAGTGGGAAATATTGGAAAAAATTGTCGCCACTCGCCAATTTTCATCGTCTCGTCGTGATTTTTTTTTTAATAATCTCGTTGTAATCTAAATTTTCATATTCCGGTGAGGTTTTTTCGAAAAACCCTTTTTTTAATGCTTAGGGAGCGCTCCTTATGACCCTTGATGATATATCTGATGTTTTTTCTTCAAAAACCTAACTCCAAATATATCATCAAGGGTCATAATAATCAATTTTATTAATAGCAGATACTTTTTAAACATTTTTTTTCTACAACTGAACATCGAGTATTTAAAATTTTTTTCTTCGACATTGAGGTTGGGGCGCTCCATTAAAAAAAAAGGGTTTTTCGAAAAAACCTCACCGAAATATGAAAATTCAGATTACCACGAGATTATTAAAAAAAAAATCACGACGAGACGATGAAAATTGGCGAGTGGCGAGAATTTTTTCCAATATTTCCCACTGTGCGACGGGGCTCCACCCCACAAGGCCAGGATTGTGTAGCAATATGTGGGTAACACTTTCCCAGAAAAATGGATTGGGCTTAATGGACCTTTTCAGTGACCCGGAAAGTCGTCAGATATAACACCCCTTGATTTTTTATGGGGGATTTTAAAAAATAAGGTTTACAGAACACCTCCGCGAGACATTAATTATTTGAAAGAAACCGCTAATGTGATTTTTAGGTGGTATTTCTTCTGAGACTCTTTAGGATGATGTTGCTTATAACTTTTAAATTGGAAGTAATACAGAAAAATTTATCTAATAAAAGTTTATTAGAAAAAAAGAGTATTTAAGTGTTTCTAGAAAAATATAATTGATGACGTCATTAGTCGTTTTTACTTTCCATTGAAAATGGAGCTTACCTCATCTCATTTAATACCACGTGTCAAAAATTTTATTTAAATTTTTTGTATCCTCACAGTAGGCCCATACTATCGAGCTTGATACACCCTGTACATTCTAGTTTTTCGCTAAACATAATTTTGAACACAAGAACGGCATGTTTCTCTACAATACGTTCTGAAATTCATTAGATTTCTCTAAATACTAGGTTCATAAAAGCTTTTGATTTATCATAGATTTTTTATGAATGTTGTGGAAACGAAGCACTATGGAATTTTGCAAAATAAAATGATCAAAAACTTGTTATATTAAAAATATATTTATTAAACTTTAGTAAATTATAACACAAAATAAATAAGAGTATTTAAAACTAGCTGCATTGGTAACTACATATTAGTAAAATAATTAGTTATTCTTAAGGATTTCCGGAAAAAACAATCACCGTCACATTTTTTCTAACCTCAAAAAATAGGTAAAAAATAACAAAAATTGACGAATAACTATGAGAAACAAATAACAAAAATGTTTATTTTTCACCATTTCTTAGCATAGCTGTATGTAATTGAGCTCGTTGAATCCAAATACACATTTAAAAATCTTCGTCTACATCAATAATGTGTATTACTGATTATGAATTAAATTATTATTATTATTTTTTGTTTAAATTACTATGAAATTGACCAAAGTGGGATTAATTCAAGAGCGATTTTCTGAGAAACCGTTAAAGATAACGATTTGAAACAATAGTACCTTTTTAATGTAAAACAGTTCGAGAAAACGGAATTTGCTGTCCAATTTGTTAAAAAGTCAAAGACGAAAAAGTTACACACGCAAAGTACCAAGGGCCCCCCCGTACCCACCCCAATGGACCTTGTGGAAATAAATGGATTAGTCCATCAAATTGCTCATCAAAATTTAGCTGTGTATACCAAATTTCATTCATTTATCACAACGCGATTGAGAGATATTGCAAAAAAATGATTTCCATTCCTCCCTCTTCAATCGGCCTGTTCAGGGTTGGCAGCTAATTATGAGACACCCTGTATACGTTAAAAATACCAAATATCTAATTAATATGCTTTTATGTACTTTTATCTGTTTCGATTTGCGGTTACCTGCATAAACAAAATCCTCTAATTTTGTAGATAAAGAAAAATATTATGAGCAAAACGTGGAGTTTCCTGATTTTTCTGGTAAAACTAAACTTTTCACAAGCTGTCCTCTCCACCGAGCTGGTTGTAAGGATTACAGGAGGCCCCCTTGTAGCACAGCTATTGGCTCAGGAAAGTGGACATTACTACAAAGGTCCTGTAAGTAATTTTCATGTTCCAGGTGCAGCAGTAATGAAAATTTTATTACACCTTCAATTTTGTGCGATTAGTTTTATAATGTAGATTAAACGTTATAGATAGGTAAAAACGAATAGCAGTAAATGTGGATATAATATTGAATTAAATTTGAGAAAGTTATTATAAAACATAATAAATGTCGGAATGTTTCAGTAGCTTGGTTTTTCCGTAGTGGTATCAAAGGGGTGATAATATTTCTTCGTTTTCAGATTTTGGACAATGTTTACATAAATACATGTGCTCAATTTCAAATTATTTCACTTCCTAGTTTTTAAATTATTTAAAAAAATTAAAAATATTTTTTAAGTTTAACACCCTGTATCTTTTTAACGAAGATAAAAACTTTATAGGAAAGACGCCCCTCAAAATTCACCATAGAATACGAGGTTTCAGTTTTGCTCACAATTTATGAATCACCCTGAGGGTTGCCTTCGCTGTACAGCAAGAATAAAACGCTCTCTCAACGGTAATAATAAAGTATTTTATTGAAAACTAAGTTGTATAGAAAAAGACGTGTTGACCGAGCAAATGTTCGCTGGAGAGTCCCTGTGTGTGGAGTCGGTCGTAGGTATATTAGTACGCATCTGGTCGCTGGCGCCAGCCCGCCGTAGACCCTTCCTGGAACGTTGGTGCGTCCGGCGGCGCTCTTGACGTAATGCTTAAAAATGGGTCACTTGCGAACATATGTACCCACAACCCTGTAGTTTTTTTTCTTGAGCAACTTAAATCTGACGGTACAAAGAATACCATTCCAAGCCACCTTTCTCATCTCATCCCTTTCATCCTCTTATGGTAGTGACAACGACTATTGTAGACATAAAATCCAATTTCTTTCAAAACCATTTCTTCAGTGGTCATAGTAGTACTTCAAATGAGGAAAAGGTACTTGATTTACATTATATTACCCTTTCACACCTTCATCCCCCATTAATTACGTTCAATTACAGCTAAATTACATGTAATATCCTTTAACTGATGTATTTATTCTAAGCTCGAAAATCCTAACTGCTCACGTTAATCAAGCACTTAAATCGTGAGAAGTGAGAGGGCTCACGTTAATCATCAAGCACCCCATATCGTATCTTTAGTTAATATAATTTTTGGTTAAGCAAATCTGTATTCACAGAAAATAAACCTTGACTGGTCCTTTTCTAGCAAAGGTTTATTTCATTAAGTTTTCAGTTTATTTCAGAAATGCCAAAATCACAAAAAATGATCGTTATTCTTAGTTATAAAGAGTATACCATGATATTTTTTTAGATTTACTTGAAAATCGTATCTATCAATATCTTTCAACATTTCTCCAAGACGAAAAATCTTCAAATCGAGTTATTTTCAAGCTGCTATATTTCCTTTGAAAAGCAATCGAATTAAAAGACATCATATATAAATACAATTAACATCCCATATATTTTTCATATTTTCATTTCATTATGACAGTTTCTGTTCTACAAACATATATTCCGATGCTTTAATTAGTTTTATATGTTAAATTTAATTATTCTCGTTTCTATGTAGGTCAGTTTGTGGCATTTTCCTAACAAATTGCTTCGCTCGTCCGAAACCGGTTCAGTATCAGCATCAGCCTGACAGGCAGATAAGATAAGCACCCTGTCGCTTCCAATTTTTATTGTTCTCGGTGTTTGCGAACAAGATAGGTAGCGGATGGACGTGTATTTTAATAAACTTAATATAACATATGGGAAATATACTACCAACTGTGATAGCGGGAAATTTATCTTATCACTGTTCAAAAGCTTTTCCAATAATTCAAAAATCTGTGAAGGAAAACCCACGTCCAGATGTGCTGGGAAATCGTTATTATGAATCAAGGTTTATTACCTCTTCAGGGCAACAAATATCTGTAAACATGTTTTGTAGCTAGATAGTTCTTAGTTAATATTTAAAACAGTTAGTAAAAGGAATTTTTGTAATAAAAAGATCCTGGTAGGCCGCCCATAAAGCTGTGAAGTGTTTACAGCGGTGGTCATGGTTACCGTCAAGCAGCAGTGAAAAATGAAGAGTAATAATAGCTATTCATCATTTTCTTTTCTTATTAAAAGTAATTTATTTACGTGTGGTGTAAAATTTTGCTCTCTGCTCATTGTTTCTTGTAAAAGAATTAAAATTGTAAAATTTTAAATAAGACTGTAAAGACAGACTAATAGTACTTGCAATGCTATCTATTGAAAATCGCATCAGTGATGCGAGAGATACCAAACAATGAAAAAGTAATTGAAAAACAAAAGAATATAAAAAATAACGTTGAGCACATTTTCCCAATATTTCAATAGTATTTAAAATACCTAAAACTACCAATTATATTTACAATATTTTGCTTAAATATTTCATCCTTTCCTGACTTATAAGTCAAAATCCGCCACTGAATTCGACCTAAAACTGTAGAATTCATCTGAGCTTTACCCTATTTAACAGATAATTCGTTTTACTGAAATAGGAAATCTATAAAACAACAGAATTTTTTGAAATTAGTAAAATTGCTTTATTATGTTTCTACTGGTGATTGTTTGACTAATTCGATTCTTAAAACAGTGTATTATATAAGAAGTGGCACATGGAGCAACAGCGGAGAGAGAAATTTTAGAGCGAATTTTTTATAGAGAAGTTTGGTCAAATCCTAATATTTTAGTGTGTAGAATCCGCTGCTGCTATGTACCATTACTTATGGGACACCCTGTATAATGAGTGCTTCTTAATTAGTTATATTTTTATGCTAACAACAAATGGGGACCGCCTAGCCGGGTGTCTTGGCCGGTGGAATTCGGTCTGCCGAGGTAAGCATCACGGACGCAGGCTGGAATTTGGATGGGTGACCTAAGGCAGGCTCGGGGACGTGGCTGTGGCAGCATCACGGACTCAAGCTGGAATTTGGATGGGTGACCTAAGGCAGGCTCGGGGACGTGGCTGTGGCAGCCTACCAGAGACCTGAGTCGCTCAACATTTTCCGCATGCTGTGGTCCCCGATAAATTGTAATGAGAACAGAGCAAAGACAATCTCTGTAACTCAAGACCATGCTATCATACATAAACTGTACGAGACTTTGCCACCAAGCCACCCGTGTAGTAAATAGGATGGTTTGAAGAAAAGTACTCGAGTAATGAAGGAGGGTGTACAAAGGGCCTAATAAGGCCGAAGTGCCGCGGTGGAAAAACAATTCCACCACCCTCCGACATACATACATACAACAATTTTTTAACTTAAACAATATTCTGAGTCACTACATTTATTTATCGAAAGTTTGTTCTCTTCAGATATTTTTCAGTTTCTTTATTACATGCTTCTGAATACAGCAAAGTATGAAAAGGAACCCCTGCAAACCTAAAACAAAAGTTGGTTAAACAAGTAGAAAAATTAAAAAACTTTATTTACTAAATAATCGCATGGAAGCTAATAATAAATAACAATAAAACAAAATCATAAGAAAATTAAGAATTAATCCCAGTGGACGAAGAATGTATTTAAAAACTCACCGCCATGAAAGTTATAAGAGTCAAAGGCGTGAATTTTCCTATCGATAAATAAAAAGGGCGCTGCATTCTACACATAATCATGATCATAGACTTTTTGTACCTCAAACTGCAGCTAAACCAGTCACTCTCGTACAAGGAACGAATGATTTCACTACTCTGAAAAAGGTAGGTTGAAAAAAGATATGTTCAAGTTTCATACATACGTACAGAGAATGTTATTTCGTTTCCAAAATTACATATCAACCAAAGTTGCAGTAATATACAGAGGAAGTATTCCCCTTGTGAAAAGAAAGTTGGTGATGATATTGGTACCTAAAAGCATTATTCGGAAATAGAGACTTTTAAACATACACATCAATAATCTGACTCACCATTGCAGCAACAAATAAGCAAGACGATATTATTAAAATTGAACAAATAGTTTGGGCTAAGATTATATAGGTAAAAATTCCCTCAAGTTCGTCTCTAGCTCTAAAAGAAAGACATTTTCATTAGAAAGACAAAAATTAATTTCATGAAAAATCATTTCCATATTTCTATTCCTACAGAATAGTAATACCTACTGCAAGAGTGACGTCAGGTGTTTGATGCACCCATTTAACTCCGAATACAAACTCCTTTCCAGTTCTGGACAATCGTCATCGCGCAGCCCTGCATATCCTGGAGGAAAGTCGATCTTCCTTAAAGTTCTTAAACGAATAGTTAAAAGAGCTTCACCCACCACATCTAATTGTGTCTTGAGACAATTTAACAGAGCGCAAAATATAGCATCTTCGCCTATACATACAAATAAATCGTTTAAATTTGGGAGCATCACATTTGTATAACTACTAACTAACTTACTGGCAATGAACCAAGCAAAAGCACACAGCGCTATTCCCATAAATGTGAAGACGTTCTCGCACTGGCTTTTGGTTTCTACAGGAAAAGGAATATGGAAATAGAACGGCAGGAAATCGTAACAAGTGATGTTGACTTCGAATTGCTGCCCTTTCACTTTTACGATGATTGATGTCCAAGCAGAAGCAAAGGCTAAAACTCCAGCCAACGTATAAAGAGAAAAAACCTGGAATGATATTGCTTAAGTAGAAAAAAATGTTTGGGAATAGAATTTAGAGAATATTAATTTGTAAATTATCTATCAACAATTTCACATGTTCATTCAACAGAAATTGCAATTTATTGCAAAAAATAGAATAATTCAAAACGATTATGTCAAAACTATTGGTCCTAATAGTACATAGTCACTCGAGTGATGAAGAATACTGTAATGAATACAAATATCATCGGTTACAATCTGTCCAAAATAATATAAAAGTTATTTTTATTACTACTCAGTAAGGAAAAATCTCTAGTCAATACTAATAATGTGGGCAATAAAAGTGGAAAATATTGTAAACAGGGCGATAAATGAAGTGATAAAAATAATGATTTTGTTTGCGTATATCAGGAAAAACCGTATCTTGAAC